TTCAGATCATCGTATGGAAACAATTCAGAGTTCAGATGGAGTTTCACGTTGGTTAATTTACAATTGTTGAGGCAAATTTTATGAGTTACTATGTTATTTTTTCTATTAGTCTGCAAAGCAAAGATGACGTATCGCGGTTTCTCGAGCTGAGTAGCCGTCTTGATAGCTCATAAGTGCTTCGTCGTGCTCGGCAATGGAGGATACTCGTACTATGAACGGAAACTCATATTCAGATATCGTCCGCTCTCCAAGAGACACGCAGCATGAATAGTTTATTGACTTCATTTAACGTGAGGTATTCGCCACTGTATCTTGAACAATTCAAGTTTCGGCTCTGTCGCTGGATTTCCTACAATGCAATTGTTGTCATTGCGCGCTCGTATCAAAATCAATTCGTGACACGCGTTAATCACTACATGTTTATAATCTTCGCAAAAGTCCAACAACATGCCCAACGGTACATAAAAATTAAAATATCCGTCACATGTTATTAGTCTTTTCACGGTCTGATCAAACACCGGATGCGGAAATCCGGCATTCTCAATACGAAGTCATCTGAATATGATGCATAGTCCTTCATAAGACTAGTCATTTCAACGTTTCTGTTACGATGGATCTTAGTACCATTGAGTTCGTATCGAATTTTGTTAAACGACATGCAATTATTTCCAAGCGTTGGCTGCCGATCTGCATTTTTTTGGTTTGACAATCTTCAATCTTCCTTATCTCATCGCTATGTTCAAACGTGGTGTTGACGTACGGATTGTACATGTGAGTCTTAATCCTGACGATGCGATCGTCAAAGATTGGCTCTCCTTCAATATTCAAGATATCAGTCACCTCAGATCTTTCATATGATAAAGCCCAAATATTGTAAAAATTTAATGTTTGATACAGTGAGTTTTTTTCTATTAGACGATCGAATGTTTTTGATCGCTATCGTCTCTCTTGTAAAAATGACTCTCTTTGCCTGCTCGTTCAAAACAAGCATATCTTTATCGTTGTTATCTCCATATATGTAATCTAACGGTGATCTCTTTTTCGTAAAAATTGAGCAATCGTCCGTTTTTATCTACAATGAATTGTCAGATCAGTAACGTACGATAATTGGAAGGTAATTGATCTGTGTCGGTCTTTCCGATATCTTATATCTTGTGACACGCTCGGTGAAAATTCATGTATCGTGTGCACTGATTTATCGTTGCTGTATGCGCGGTCACATTGCATTCAATACGAATGATATTTATTTTGATGATATTTATCGATGATATTTATTTGATTCGAGCCACTTTTGCAGCACGCGATTCGATGAAAACCCAACAACAATCCAATATTGTGTGGTGAAATTTACTCGATAAGCACATTTGATCTCACTCTTCATGGTATTGGCATGAATACTCTTCATTCTCTTTCACAACATTATTACGATGAAATTGTAAAATTGCACGTTTTAGATACTTGTTTATGTCATATATTTCGTACGATCCTTCGGGAATTACAATTTCTTTGTCATCTTCGTCAAAGTAAAACTTATTATTCGAGGAATTTATTATACATTAGATATCGTATGGTAAGTTTCAAAGTCAGACCGAGTTCGTAATCGTCATCAAATCCGGAAAGTAGCAGTCCGTGAGGACATTACTCACCGATAAGCGTAAATGTCAGTGACATGTTTGAATAAATACTGAGTTGAAAGAGTGCAATGTCAATTCTTAAATTGATCGTTAATCGTTTATATTTTTTTATAAAAATTGTAGACACAGTTGTCCGCAGTTACTTTGATTATAACATTGATAAGGCGTGCGATTATACTCGATTTGCATTACATCTAAATATCGCATCATTCCTTCGGCAGTTGAAGATTGTCGAAATTATCAAAGTAAACAACACGATCTCCCTGCTTCGCCATTCAATGAATACCTGGTCCATCAGCATTATCCAAATTTACGATACCGCTCTCGTTTCGATACACTCCCCCTGTTGGTAAGATAATACGTATAAAATACCTTTAAAATATGGAATACGTTTTGCTATTTGTTGCAGTTGTATGTTGGTAGTTATATCCTTTGATATTTTTATCGTTTCTTTTGATGTTTTTTTTTAATTTTTTAAATCTTTTTCATTGAGACTCCTTGTCCAGATTCTTTGTCTAAAGACTACTTGTACGGAGCAAGGTAAACTCCATGATCTTTCATGACGCGATTATGACGTTTCAGTTCATCCAACTGACGTTGCGCGGCTTTATTGTCATTTATAGCTTTTGTGATTCCTCCGTGCTGCCGACCAACGAGTCGACGAGTTTTCCAACAGCAGTAGAATAGGTATGATGCCGCCACGTTTTGCTACGGTAGTATTCGTTTATTCATCGTGTTTTTCTTCTTCTTCATTTTCAAGCCCATATCAATTTTCGTTTTGACTTTCATAGTCCAAACAGCTAAGGCAGCAGCTCTCTCTCCAAAAGTCGAATTTTTCGCGGTAATCCGTTTCTGCGCCTCGTCAGCGAGTATTTTGTCAGCTACGTGTTTGAGATCTTTGTTCTGCGAATAAGCTATGTCGTAATCACGACATGCTGCGTTTAACGGATTAATGCCTCGATCGCCTTTAGCCAATCGGTTTTTTAAATGCGTACCTGAACCACAAAATTGATATCCGGAAATATACAACTCGATCGAAAGTGCATGATTTAAAAAATCACAGCCCTTTTTTGTCGACATTCTACAATTTTTTATAATTGGTGCTCGATCATTGATAAGAGATCGATGGCTGGACAAATTATAATATTTCAAGTACCGATGATGTTGCTGAATCTCTGAATCAGTCTTTATATGCTCGGGTAATCTGTCCCACAGTTGATCTATATAATTCTTAAACTCTCGTAGTAAAATAATTTTCGATATATATTCTAACTCTTTAGCGGTTAAATTATGTACATCACAGTTGTCTGACACGATAAGAAGCATTTTGAATACTAACCGTTTTGCGCACTTCTATAAATAGATTTTTTCTCGATCCGGTTTACAATTTGTATTAGTATCATGAAGGGAGAAGATATAAAATTCGATATGTGAACATCACAACCGATCAAAGTGACTAATGTTGACAATAAAGTACAAATTGAAAAAGAAGTACGCAAGCATGGAAACATGCTACCGATTTCTATACGCCGTTCATCTGCGGTTCATCGAACTGTAAAACAAACATGTTGATAAGTTTGCTGGTAAGTCCACATGACTTACACTTCGAGAACATGTACGTGTACTCGAAGTCGTTGCAACAATCAAAATAACGATATTTGGAGAATTTATTTTGACATTGATTGAAGAAATCGATTATTTTACATTTTCCAATAATAGCGATGTAGTTTCACCAAATGAGGCACTTCCAAATTCCATTTTCTGTCACGCGGACGTCGATTGTTTCTATCTGTGTCAAATGTATGCAAAGATACCGAAGCATTTCATACGCGATAATGCAAATTTGTTGATCCTATTCAAACAGGATGGCACCAATCTGAAACATGTATACACTGACCATGTCTTACGAGGGTTTCTGCGAACTGTGTCGTTGCTGCTGGCAACAAAAGTATGGATTCATAATAATAGATAAAGACAGTGCGTTTATGAATGGGCTAACAGGAGAGGATTTAATGAATTTGATACCTTAATGTGTTAGTCGTTGTTGATGCCAACTATGAAACATCTTCCTCCTTCAAATGCAACATGGATAATAGCAAAGAGCTTAAGGATTGTGAGAGGATAGCGAAACAAATCGCAAAAACGAGTGATTCGATTCGTAAAAAGTATGCTTTAAAAACTAAAATAAAGGAAGATATAACGTTGGAGAAACATTTTAAACCCATCGTAGTATCTTTAAAACAGATTGTCGAAAACACTGATGAGGAATCTCAACTGATTAAGAAAGAAGCTAATGTTGCGAAGGATAGAAATATTAAGAAAAGAAAACCAGAAGAAAATGAAAAAGATGATGAACATGATAATGATGATGATGATGATGGCGATAATTTCAGGATGGATAATTTATGACTTCAATTAATACTGTTGTCAAAATAAAAACAATGTATACAAGAATCGAATGTTACGTCGGATTCCAATTATGCGTAACCTGAAACAAATTATCATACGAACGTTCACACGTTCTATCAGCCGAAGACGTTTATGAAACGCCCAATGAGCCGCTTGAAACGTTAGTTAAACATTGCAAACGCGACAAGTTTGTGAAGATTTCCATAATCAATTGGGACCATTTGGACAAAAATATAATTTGCTTCTCGATAAAGAAAAGATGATCGATTAGTATATGGCGTACCTCAGTAAGAACGGTACGATGCTCGGTGATAAATAGTTCGATATAGACACGAATGATTTTGTGATCATAGATAGAGTAAAGATACGCCTGGGTTATATCAATTAATTTTCAAAAGAATTCCCGATGACACTATTTACACAGAGAATGATAAACTAGCATATAAAAGTATATTATTAGCAACGAATGCTCATAGATGCAATCATAAAACGGATAATCCAATATTGGATAAGAAAGGATATAAATATAAGAATATAATAGCACCCTTGGTATCAGGTAAAATACAAGTTGGAACGAGTATATCATGCGTCTGGAAACTAAACAACAAGTCAGGTAAAAATGTTGGAAAAGATATAACACCACGACCCTAAATGACAATAAAATCGATTATATTCATTGGGGCAATCCTAACTAGCTAGTAGATTGTCTTCGATTGTTTGAGGTCTCGCGTCAAGCAGATCACAATGTCAATGGTAATGAAATATTATTTATTCGAGGAGCTTCGTGAAGTTGACTTGATTGTAAACGACTTGATTAAAACGAGGATACGCAATCATTTTTATTCGACATCGAAATATCAACCAACAACGTTTACGTCAGACCTTTGTAATATTTTGCGCATTATATCACGATAAAAAAATAAAACGTGTCTGAGAAAAAATCTCGAAAAGTGACGACTAGAAGAACTTCACGCTCCGGCGAGAAAAAATTTTCCACGCAGACACGTCATAGTTTACGGATACGATGATCTGTGGCAGGCTGATGTGATTGAGATGCGCCCTTACACACAATTCAATAAAGGTTACCAATATATTCTCACTGTTATCGACATATTGAATAAGTACGCATGGGCCGTACCTCTCAAAACAAAAAAATGAAACTGAGATGGCTATAGCGAAGATAATTCGAGATAATGGAAGATGTCTGAAAAATTTGCAACCAAGAAAAGAATTTTACAATGCAAATATAAATAACTTGAAAAAACACATCATAAATCATTATTCAACATATTTTGTAATGAAGGCGTCAATCGTCGAACAATTCAATCGTACGTTGAAGAACGATAGGTGGAAACAATTTATGCGCAATGAAATTATAAATGGATCGATTTGCTATCCATTTCGCGTCTAGTGTCGGAGTACAACGCGCGAACTATCAGTATGTGACCCATCGACTCCTACGATCGCCGACAAACTCTTAATACTCTGTACAGTAGCGTAAAGACACTTCCGCGATTCAAAGTTGATAACTCGGTACGTATGAATAAATTCAAGACAATCTTTGAGAAAGGTTACACCCCAAATTGGCCTACGAAGGTGTTTAGAATCGTCAAAGTACAGAGATACTAATCGTGTCACGTATCTTCTAGAAGATTACCGCGGAAAACCTGAAGGATTTTATGACCTGAAGGATTCTACGACTATGAGTTGCATCGCGTTGCTAATTCCGACGTATATCTAATTCAAAAGGTGTTGCGTAAAAAAGGAGACAAAGTTTATATAAAATGGCTAGGATTTGATAATTCACACAACTCTTGGATACATAAGGATAATGTGTTATAAAAAAAAATAAAACTTGTTATAAAATTTATTACAAATTGTTTAATTATTTTTTCTCTTTATAAATATATTATACACATATTATACGCACACAGACATACATACATACATATATACGTACGTTCATATATACATTCATGAATATACGTATATACGTACATATGTACATATATATGTATTAGGTGTACAACTTTGCTTCCGCCGTTTTCCTATAGATGGCTTTATCGATAAGTGGTGGTCAAAATAAATAGATCATAGACGTCACACAATAAACTTGGGCATCTGTCAACATAACCCCATAGAAACATTAGTCGATTTGTGTCTGCATCATAAAGTTATTCTTGATTGAAAATGTCAGTTTACGAGTCAGTTTACAAATTCTCGTCATTTGCGGGAGGTTTTAATTTTTTGCTTCAATATGAAGAAATCTGGCTGAGGCTCATCGAATGCTCTCAAATATTTATGGTGAGGCCGCTATTAGTGAAAAAACGTGAGTGGTTTCAACGCTTCAAGAACGGTGATTTTGAAGTCCAATGTCTCATGCTCTGTATTTGGTGGGACCAGCTCGGCGTAGTGTATTATGAACTGTTAAAACCGACTGAAACAATCACAGACGATCGGTATCGAACGCAATTGATGCGTTTGAGCCGAAAGACAAACGGCCGCAATACAACGAGAGACACGATAAAGTGATTTTGCAGCATGACAATGCTCGACCCCATGTTGCGAAAGTGGTCAAGACATACTTGAAAACGTTGAAATGGGAAGTCCTACTCCATCCGCCGTATTCTCCAGACGTTGCTCCCTCTAACTATCACTTGTTTCGATCAATGGCACACGGCCTGGCTGACCAGCACTTCCGATCTTATGAAGAAGTAAAATTATGAAGAAGTAAAAAATTGGATCGATTCGTGGATAGTCTCAAAAGATGATCAGTTTTTTCAACGCGGGATTCGTACGCTACTTCTCCCGAAAGGAGAAAATAGTGGCCAGCGATGGACAATACTTTGAATCATAAATGTATAATCAGTTTTTTACAATAAAGCCTCGAATTTCGGAAAAAAAACGGCGGAAGCAAAGTTGTACACCTAATATTTATTAAATATATATTAAATATATACTTATTAAATATACTTATTAAATATATATATTATATATACATATATTATATATACAATACTATATACAAATTTATTTACACCGGTAATGTTCCCATGGTAGCGTGTCGGAGGAATCTGACATGATATATGAGAGATTCTTATCATTGTGCGGACTTAGAGTGATTTTTGTTTCCGAAGTCGTGTACACTTCGTGCAATTTTGATCTAATGCACGACTGCCTGCGCGACATTTCGATTGCGTCGTTCAAGCCTCGAGTATAATCTTCGAACATTATGGATCTTGCCACAACATTGCTCTTGACATCCTTTATCTTTTTCGTGTCCTTCTTTCCTTGTACATGTAAAGCGTTTTCGCTCTAAGCTGAATTCAGTTATGATGGCACCATTGTTCTCGTCTTTCATGAGACTTTTTTATTATTATGAGGAACTTTTTTATTTGCGAGCGGAATATCGTATAGGTTATCGATAGAGTAATCACTCGTGTCAAATCTATTTATATCATGTTTCATAATGTTTCATAATGTGTATCCATCGTTATTCCACATATATGAGACTGTCAGTATCGGTATAATAATAATACATACATACATAATTTTACATTTATCGCGAAACAGCGATGCATGTACATACTCATGGTGAAAATCATACAAATATGTTTTAGGATATCGAGGATGTACATACCTACGTATATCGGTTTGCCAAATTTTACCTCGAGTTTGCGCATTTCTATCGCGACCAGATTCTCCGAAAAGATGTTACAACTATGAAAATTCGATTTCGCGATCATTGCCTTTGCATCGTATCTCCCATTCCAACACGTTAAAAGTCGCACGTCGACGTAATTGCGCACATTCTCCATGGTTTCTTCCATGGTTTTGCTGAAAACCGCGTTGTTCATTAGTTTGTATAAATTTTTCTCGAACTCATTATTCGCGCGAGTTCTAAAATTTGTGTTAAGTTCGATATAGCTCACGAAGCCATGAAGATTGCGCGAATTGTAATGTCATAATATATGGATCTTTGTGCGGAGACTGTGGCGATTACATTGAAGTAGATTACGATAATGAATCACGTAAAACTTTTTATCGTGTAACGTAGCGAGGAGCTTGTTTTCTCGCTTGCAGGGTGATTTCTCGCATGTTGAGCAAAATGATAGATCCGCGTGAATATCATAGAAATGTTGTGGATACTTCAAGTCCACTTCGAGAATATAGCCTGTCGAGGAATCTAACGCGACATGCATAACGTTAAAATTTTCTACATCATCGACCCATCGAAAATCAGCATATGGGAATGATTGACACATTGCCCAACCGTACAAATTGTTAACGTCGAAATACATAAGATATTGATGGTTTCGATGGGTCGTACGATTATATGTATTTGTTGTTAGCCTGCGCATACCGTATTGAAACACTGACGTAGACCGCGTATACCGCGCTCGACAAACATGATCATGTCGATGTCTGTGAACAGTTCAAATTTTACACATGTATGTTTTAATGACATCCCACGTGAAGCCCGGTAAAGTAATATTACGCAGTGTCGAGCCCATAACTCGCGACGCAACTATCGCGGAAATTCTCGAATATGCTGGCTAACAACAAGACATCTGTTTTTAGACAGGTCGCTATATTCACCAAGCGTTTGAATGGAGAATCGCCGCTACAAGTTGACGACATGCACATAATCGTTCTCAGATACCGTGTCATCTGTTAAAAAACTATAAAAAGAATTACGCGATTGTAATTCGGTTTCCTCCAATTTTTCGACGCAGTCAATGTACTCGTACGGAAATAATATCTTTCCGCATGAGCAGATCGAAATCGATTCTCCGCGCTGAGATTAAGAAATTCGGACCGTGTAATTTTCAATTTATTTTTATTGAGATACGACGCTAATTTTTCTAAACTTGATGCGAGAAATTTACAAGAATCTATTTACAAGAATCTATTATATAATTTTACACAAGTTTTCTTCTGCTCATTTTTAGTATTGTCAACATGTTTTGTAAAGGAAATATATTTTTCTTTAGTTGTAGGAAATCTACGTCCTTCGTACGCGATGGCTATTTCTTTGATGATAAAATGTGAATCGTATCCCGATAAATTATGGAAAACTATGGATATGCAGTGTGAATCTTTATAATTCAAATTACAATTCGAATGCGCGGGGCCTCTAAATCGCCTCGTCAAGTGGCAATGAGCGCGTACCCATGTGTCGTCAGGCGCGAATAGTTTTTCGCACACATGACAATGCGTGGTGCTGTCAAATTTTTGCCAATCTCGCGTGAAATCTGCCATGGGAACATTAGTAAATAAGATATTTAGATAACATATTTACTTTATGCGTTAGATTTCGGAGTTCCTCGACGAACCAACCGTTACCGCGACGAAAACAATATTTCGACAGCGAATCGTCATACGAACTATGTGCGTAGTACCCGATACTGAACACCTTATTGTTGCTGATACGTGTGCGTAGACTTATTCGGGTCTCTCTCCATCTTTTCCAATGTGCATTCCAGGTCGGCGTAGATTATGAACGGATTGCGCTCCTTTCTGCAATGATTGTTGAAGCTCAGCCACTTATTATCCTCGCTAGGCAGTCGGATAGCGCAGTCATTCATTTTACCGCAGTCTACTGAGTGTGACTGTAATTTTTCATTTGTATTGAAATAATGTAGACATCTGAAAAGATCATACAAAATTATTAATATATTTATTACTGTTTCTTTTAATATTGTTTTATCGATTTTTTTTCTTATTATACTTATCGATCGCAGAAATATTTCTTATTCTTGGATCTAGTAATAGATGCGACTTCACGAGGTGGGACAGATCTTTAATCAACGCAAAATGCTCCTCGATATCGTCCTGTGGATCCTATACGTACAGCAAATTAACATACTTATCCCTCTTTCGGCTGGTATGTCAATCGAGTAATGGAAGAATTTTTTTCTGTTGCTCGATACTATACACGTTGATGGAGATATTATTCTGATTGTCGAATTTTATTATTTTGTTCAGCGTCATCGGAAACTGAATGCCTTGGAGATTTAGTACAGTATTATAGTGCTGATGAGGATTCCCGATTTGTGTGATTTCTAGCCGGGTGTAGAACGGTGCAACCACGCGAAGCACACATTGTCCGTAGATTGCACGTTGATTACTGTTTTCTTTATCTTAATTTCTCGCGGTAACTCAATGTGACAACCTTGCAATGGATTGTATTTGTTCACATTGAGAATCAAATTCAGGATATGCGACAGCGTCCACCCGCTATCGCGTTCCTGGAATTCCTCCAGCGATGCTAGGATAGGCTCGATGACGCGCGACGCGTCATCGTCATCATTCTTGTAAATCAGATTGAAGAGTTCATAATTTCTTGTGGTAATACTTTTATTCGCGCATTTATATTATAATATCACCTGTTATGAATTCATTGAATACAGTGTTTATAGAATTATGTCTCTGCATAATGTCTTGCATACGTTTCCAGAACAATTTCACTCACGTCTTCTAGAAATTGGCGAGGTTCGATATGTCTAGAGTTTATGATGGCATCGGTCAATATACGACTTTCGAACGCCGTATCTATCTCGCGCCATCGAAGTCCCGCACTCGGCACCCAAACAAACAAAACAAAATGATCACGCACTGAATTTTATTTTTCTTTAAAAATTTCGAGTCGCGCAATATAAGCGATCAACGATTGTTTGATTCCAATTGATAATCGCAGACACGACTCTGTTCTTCCAGCGATTCGATAAACATATCGCAACGCTGTTCCCACGCGATATACTCTTCTCGCGTATTCAAATGAGCGGCTTGCTCTATCAACTCACGCTTCATTTGCTCCATATTATAATATCCTCTTTTTCACAGTCTTTTCATTAAAAAAAAAAGCTTTGAGAAAATGTATATTTTTAATCTATTTTTGTATCTTTGACAAAAAAGTATCACTGTGTGCAAATAGGACACATGTTACACATTATTTGATAAAGGAAATCTTTACATTCCGAACAGGAATATTGCACATCCGTTGGTATCATGTTTTCAAACGGCACGAAGACTTGAAAATTGATCGTTTATTCTTATGATGCATGATGAGCAATATCTTCCATGACCATCAGTGTAATAGAATTCAATGCAGCACATCTTTTTCACAGGACGTAAGGTGTTTACTTGAGCTCGATTTAAATCTCGATATATTACTTCAATTATATCATCATCGTTCTCTATGTCACTGCCGAAATATGAATCATTTGACAGAGCATGATTTTCATCGGACATTTCCTGATTAGACATTTCTTCATGTTGATCATTTATTTCTTTATCCATCCTCATAAGGTGCAAAATTCATTTTTCCATTAAGCATACGCACTGATATAACATCGATATAATTGAATAAGCTCTAAACTCGACTGCTAGCAAAAAAAATGTGCTCCCAAAAGAAAATCTTTTCGTTTTATACATTACCGAAGATGAATCATTTTTTGGTATGCTGCATGTTCTATCATGTTCTAATATGTTTGAACATGTTTACGAAGGGATGATTTTTTGTCGATCGAAAAGATAAGCTGAAAAGAATTTTTGAATAGAAAATATTTTTGAAAAGAAAGCATGGGAACAGATAAAACTTTATTGTTATTGGTATCGAACCCATAGATAAGAAAGTCGTCAGTTCGTCAGTAGAGTGCATTCTTACGATATGAGTTATTGTATAGTTTCATGTTTGAAAAATAATGTGATTTTGTATCTACGGTTGTTAAGATAAATAAATTCTACATTTGGTATACTGTCCAAAATACATTTTTGAGAAGAGAATAAGAACAGACAGATTTTATTGTTGTCGACTCCCATAGATAAAAAAAAAAGGTTCGATATGATCAAAGTACATTCTTACGACATGTCACTGCATAGTTTGATGTAGAATTGAAAATGAAAAAAATCCTCTCTATTTTGGGATATGTAAAAAAGTGAAAAAGAACATTGTTTAAAAGAAGAAGAGCCTAGCTCTTATAATATTATCGCATCAGTCTCAAAGGAAATCGAATAGTAAAAATATACAGCGAAAAGAACTACGTTCTAATGGGAGATGACAATTCAAATGGGATGAACATATGAGGGACAGTAAGATTGTGTTCAATTATATAAAATTTTGTTTACATGCTTTGGTATATGTTATACATTTTTTTTATTTACCTGTATTCTTCTTTCTTTAACAGTACATTTTATACATATTCGACACCTTATATTTTGAGAAGATTCGCATTGACACTTACAGCTTATAAATATCTGGATATTGGAATCAGCGTGGGATTTATATCCTATGTAAAAATTGTGATAATCGAAGCAATCACATAATCTTGTCTCATATGACGATGGAAGACGTTCATCGAGAGATATGCAAATGTTGAGCGATTAGTGCAGTCAACTGTTTCCTCCTCTCTCTAACGATTCAAGATTAATTGTGGAATTTAAAATTGGTAATGAATATAATGTAAAAACATCATTGTATGGTGCTTGCACATGAAGCCAAAAATTCTTTTCATGTTTGAACTCGAACATTGTATTGAACATGTATACGTTGAACTGTGTCAGTATATTCACGGTGTTAGTAACAAATTTAAATATTTTGTGACTTTTTTACGCCAAAATTGTATTACTATTCAATGCGATATTGTAAATACTTTGCACAAAATTTATGATAAAAGTTCTATTATAATAGAATGTGAACTAATAGTTTATGTGTTAGATAATATTGTATACGCTATGTTACATGAAAATAAATCTATCAAACATATTACTTAGTCTTCAAAATGATTCATTCCTACTATTTCTTCCTATTATCTCTTTTCAACTCCAAGTTAGTAGATAAGAAAGCGCTTGACTC